CTGCTGTTTCCTAGCTTTGCTAACTGAAATTAAGAACGTAAGATGGACCCTGCTGGATCAGGCCAATGGCCCTTCCAGTCCAGCACCCTGTTCTCACAATCGACAACTAGATGCATGTGAGAAGCCCACAAGCAGGACATGAGCACAACAGCACCCTGTCCAGCCGTGATTCCCAGCAACTGGTATTCAGAGGCATTCTGCCTATGACATTTGAGGGAGAACACAGGAATGATGGAAGGATGAAACCAGAGACCTGGGATCTTCTGAGTGAAAACATGTGCCTTTCAAGGCCTGATCACCTGTTCATGTATGATTCTCCCTTAATTCATTGCACACTTCATTTCCCATGCAGAGCTATTTCCACACCACCTCACAAACTCATTTCCCTGCTTGCACAGCTAACCATAAGAGTGAAATCTGCTTGGTATTCAAAATATTAAATGTTTTATTCCATTACAGCTTTGCATTCCATATCACCACTTAGGCTGTCAAGTTTTAGAAGAGACAGTGGCATTAGATCCCCCCAGGGCCCAGACAAATTTTGTGAGGGCTGGTAATCACACTTCAAAACGAGGACAGGATCACACTTCAAAACGACCTTGACAGATTAGAGAACTGGGCAAAAACAAACAAGATGAATTTTAACAGGGAGAAATGTAAAGTATTGCACTTGGGCAAAAAAAATGAGAGGCACAAATACAAGATGGGTGACACCTGGCTTGAGAGCAGTACATGTGAAAAGGATCTAGGAGTCTTGGTTGACCACAAACTTGACATGAGCCAACAGTGTGACGCGGCAGCTTAAATGCCAATGCAATTCTGGGCTGCATCAATAGGAGTATAGCATCTAGATCAAGGGAAGTAATAGTGCCACTGTATTCTGCTCTGGTCAGACCTCACCTGAAGTACTGTGTCCAGTTCTGGGCACCACCGTTCAAGAAGGACACTGACAAACTGGAACGTGTCCAGAGGAGGGCAACCAAAATGGTCAAAGGCCTGGAAACGATGCCTTATGAGGAACGGCTAAGGGAGCTGGGCATGTTTAGCCTGGAGAAGAGGAGGTTAAGGGGTGATATGATAGCCATGTTCAAATATATAAAAGGATGTCACATAGAGGAGGGAGAAAGGTTGTTTTCTGCTGCTCCAGAGAAGCGGACACGGAGCAATGGATCCAAACTACAAGAAAGAAGATTCCACCTAAACATTAGGAAGAACTTCCTGACACTAAGAGCTGTTCGACAGTGGAATTTGCTGCCAAGGAGTGTGGCGGAGTCTCCTTCTTTGGAGGTCTTTAAGCAGAGGCTTGACAACCATATGTCAGGAGTGCTCTGATGGTGTTTCCTGCTTGGCAGGGGGTTGGACTCGATGACCCCTGTGGTCTCTTCCAACTCTATGATTCTATGATTCTATGAACTCATTAATATATTGCTAAGCCTCATAGGGGGGAGGGGTGATGAAAGGGAAAGGAAGTAGTACAGGGAATAAGCTGGGGAAAAGAAAGTACAGGACATGCTTGCATTTATTAGCATTCCCTTGCAAGGAACAGACTCTTCCCTTGATTTCTTGGACCAGGAGGAGGCAATGTTCTGAACTACAATTCCCATCCACCCCAGTCAGCATGCCCAATAGTACAGCAAGAAGGGCACCAAGTTGCCTACCCCTGGTTTGGATTATGGAGTAATGCTGACACCATCCCTCAAATATTTCCCATGATCTGCATCGAAGGGCAGAGGCGTCAAAAGGGTACTTTTCCTAATCCCCACCCCCATTTTACAAGAAGACTTTGTTCTCCTCTTAGAGAAAATCAGTGAAAAGAGATAATTTTGAGAGACCATTTGGACATCTTGGCATTCCCTCTTAAAAGAGCTTTTGATTAATGAAAGTCATACAAAGACAAAGTATGCAGCCAGAGCACTTTGCGTTCCTTGTAGACAAGAACTGCCTCATTAAGTAAGCAGTGATCATACATTAACTTCAAACTTCGTCCAGTTTCCTCTCCCAAATGGGTTTAATCTGGCTATTTATTTTGATTTCATTTTCCCCATTTTATTTTATTTTTTGCAATGTGTAAGAATTCAATATTACATTGCCCATTCAAAGACATCTGAAACATTTCCCCCCTTTATTGAACAAGCTTATCTGTGATGCATCATATCAATGCACTCAGCAGAGTTGATGCATCTTAAAAAAAAACCTCCTGATCAATACTGATCAGACCTGGCAACACAGAGAATAACACTATAGCTGAGCCATAGCTCAGTGCTAGAGCAACTGCTTTGCATGCAAAAGGTTCCAGATGGTCCAAGCCTCAGCATCTCCCAGCATCTGGGAGAGACCCCAATCTGAAATCCTGGAGAGTTGATGCCAGTCAGTGTACAATACTGAACTAGATGGCTCAATAGTCTGACTCAGCAGAAGGCAACTTCCTATGTTTCTAACAGCTGCCATTCTAATCAGAGACATGTGTAACTCAAGGATGAATCTCATCTTTCAATCCATTTTCATGGCACAGAGCAATGGATGCAGAAAGCACACCAGGCAGAAGGCTATGGCATGGAGGAAGGCAGATCATCTTCAGGCCAAGGAGTTGGTCCTTTAAGGAGGCGAAAGTCATCCCTGAGGGGCAGAGCCCAGAATAGTTTGTCTGGGTGCAACCTCAAAGGCCTCAAGTCTGCTCTCAACCTTTGTTGGAACACGTTGCTCAAGTTGGAGCTGCCTGTGGTCCTGCAACTTCTGAGTTGGCTTTGCTGTTGGGTTCAGCAACAGGACAGAACAGGACATCCTGCCCCCTCCATCAGTAGTTGTCCTCACTGCCACTATTACCAGGTGATGCTCCTCCTACCTGCCACTGGCTTGCCAGGCAGAGAGCCTGAGTGAGAGGTGGATGAACAAGGAATGAACAATCCAAGGATGAACAATCCAGGGAACTCTTTTCAACCCCCAACCCCCTGCTGGGCTGTGGGCTCCTAACAGCAGGCTGGCCATGTTGACCCATGCAGTATTCATGCACCTAAATGACACTAAATGGATTGCTTTCTAGATGCATTTCCCCCATGTCATAATCTTGCTGCATGTGGAGGCATCTGGGAAATGGTTAATTGGCTGCAATCCTAACTCCACTTGCTTGAGAGTAAGCCCCATTGAATCCAATAGGTCTTACTTCTGAGTTGCTATTTTAAGGTTTGCATTGCAGGCTACAACTTTTCTATTTGGGAGGTTAGTTTCACAGTATTCAACCAGTCACTAACACTCTGAAACGACACATGGAAAGCTGAAAGGGCCCACTTACGCACGGCCAAAATAGATCTCCCCAAAAAGAGGTTTAAAAATTGCATAACATTTCCATATGATAATTTGAATGAATTTAAATTGATATACATCTCACCCTAGTATATGAGCAGGTGATCTGTGTGCCAACTCAGTCTGCTGTCCACATGTGAAATGTTGACAGCCAAATTCAAGACCCCCACCCCACATGCTCTCCCTTCTGATGTTTATTTTTGTCTTTCAGATCTAGACAAATAAGCATTCAGAGAAAGAGGAATCCTTTAAAATCTATTTTATTTAGTTAACAGATTTACATTCCCCCTTTCAACAGATTTTATTCACAAAACAACATAATAAAGTACAGATCAAAATATAACTAAAATATATTTTTAAGGCCATCAAGAGAAGACAGTCCTCTTTAAATTGAGAAACAATGTCACCCTAAGCTTGATCCATCCTCTGTTCTGCTCTTTTGGCACATGGAAAAATGTTTTGGAGGGTGAGTTAAGTCATTTAAATAATGCAAGCAGAGCCCAGAGAGAAAAGTACTGGTTACACTTTAATGATCAAGCTGACCAAAAACTGTGTAATTTGAGGGGAAATAAACAGAGACATATCTCTTAGTACAGGCTCTGTACAGATCAGAGAGACATCTAACTAAAAGTACGAAAGGAAAATGTCTCTCAGAACTACTCAGTCAATCAGTGATCATTTTCCTCAACCTGGTTGCTAGTTAACTTTAATAACTAAGGGAACTAATGCTTCAATTGCACAATGAATGATACCTGCTGTTGCACTTCCAGCATTAACGATCACAGAAGTGGTCCTTTTGATGTGGACAGAACTGTTGCTCGGGGATTCACAGAAGCCTGAAGGAGCCCACCTTTTGGGGTGGGGTTGTCATATCTGGTTTTGTTCTGTTCTGTTTGTAACATTTTCATTGGCTCTCAGTAAGGGAGAGATAAGAATCATTCCAGTTGTATCACCACTTTCCATTAGGAATTGCTCTTCTGAATACCAGCCAGGTGTGGGTGCCAAGACTCACTGTCTGAAGCTTTCTGAAGAAGTACCCTTCAGAGTGTAATGAGAGCACATTTCATCTTCCCCCTGCTTTTTGTAATCAGAGGGTTTTTAGTATTCCAGCAAACCTTTTTCCAGGCGGCTCATGATGTAGCTGGAACTTTGAGAAAATGATTCACTCCCTCTCAAAACACAAAACACCACTTCAGTCTCCGAGATGAGAAGACAGATGCTTCAATTGAGAAAAATAATAATCCTTTCCTTCAAACACATAATCAACCACTGTAAACCAACTGAGGCACAGATTCTAAAAGTATAATTTTTTAAAAAAGGGCAGATTACTGTGGAAGATGTGTCCGTCAAGTGGGTGTGAATCCCGGTAGCCAGAGTTGCTTTTTCAGAGGCAGTAAAGTTCTCTGATCGCATACTTGAAAATAACAACATGAGAGATGTGTGGATCCACGGGTGGGGGGTGGGGTGTATACATAGCTGATGGCATTGTTCTGGAAATTGTATGTGTAGTGCTTGTGTGTGTGTGTGTGTGTGTGTGTGTGAGTGTGAGAGAGAGAGAGAGAGAGAGAGAGGTGCATGAGAGAGAATAGGAAGCTGCTTTATACAGAGTCAGACCATTGGTGCATCCAGCCCAGTATTCTCTGAACAGACTAGGAGTGGCTCTCCAAGGTTTCTGGCAGGGAATATTTCCCAGCCTTGCCTGTAGATGCTGTGGACTGAACCTGGGACCTTCTGCATGCAAAGCAGGTGCTCTGCCACTGAGCTACAGCCCTCCCATCACAACTCTGAACTTTACCCTGTGTCAGTATGTCACCTGCTAAAGGCCTTCACTTGAGCCCTTCACTTCAGAGCCTCCTCCTCACATAGCTGCTTTCCTGTTGCACTACATACTTCAACAGGCAAGAGCAGCAGTGTTCAGAGTGCATTCTTCCTAAGAATTCAACTTGTCAGTAATGAAAGACAGATTATGCAGCATTGCCAGATTTAGCCTGCAATGCAACCCTGGAGGACTACAGTGGTACCTTGGTTCTCCAACTTAATCCGTTCTGGAAGTCCGTTCCAAAACCAAAGCGTTCCAAAACCAAGGCACACTTTCCCATAGAAAGTAATGCAAAACAGATTAATCTGTTTCAGATTTTCAAAAACAACCCCTGAAACAGCAGTTGAACATGAATTTTACTTTCTAACGAGACCATTGATCCATAAAATGAAAGCAATAATCAATGTACTTTACTATAAAATAAATAAGACAGTATTGTAGATGATTAAAAAATAAAATTACTTTTTTTTCTTACCTACACTGATGATAGTCATTGTTTGGATGGGGGGCTTTTATCCATTTCCACAGTCACACAATCAATCTTTTTTTTTTTTTTTACGACGGCACATATTTCTTTTATTCATAATTATAACAAGACATATTATCCAAAAACATATCATCCTTGTTTCCCCCCCCCAATTTTTCCTCCCTCCCCCCCCAGAACCCACTCACCCCCACCCCCCGACTTCCTTCAGTTCCAGTCTTTGGTTTCTCGAAGAATGCTGTTTTCTGCATGTTACAAAGTTGTATAGATCCTCAAACTATTTAGCTGATTATTATCAATAAAAAGTTTGTGAATGTTTATTCAAAACCTGCCAAGGAGTCCAGTTCGCTTTGTTGCGTCTTCAGATACTTTGTAAAGGGTTCCCATTCATCTTTAAAGTCACAGTTATCCTTGTCCCGTAGCTTATATGTCAGTTTTGCCAGTTCTGCATAGTCCATCATTTTTTCTTGCCATGATTCTTTAGTCGGGGTTTCTTCAGTCTTCCATCCTTGTGCCACCAGAACTCACGGCCGTTGTCGCATACATGAAGATGTTTTTCAACTTTTTTGGCAGGTCACACAATCAATCAATCTTCCGGGTTTTGGTGTTTGAGAACCAAGGCATTAGAGAACCAAGGTACCATTGTATTGGGCAAGTTGCATGGATGCCCTCTGTAAGTGAGAATGCATAGTCTGTATATTTGTGGCTCAGGAGAAAAATAAATCACTCTAATATTATACCCATAGAAAATGGCTTTGAGTACTGTTGTATTTAGATTCTGCTTGTGGGCTTCTCTTAGGCATCTGGTTGGCCAGAACAGGATGCTGGACCAGATGAGGCACCTGCCTGATCCAGAAGCAGCTCTTCTGATCTTCTTATGACTGATTTGGTAAACCTGTGGCTTGGTGATCAGGGCTCCAGAGCCCCAAAGGGCCACTGCTGATGTCTGCTGTGAATGCTTTGAGTACCAGGCAGAGAGCTGCCATTTAAATGTCCCTTGATGCTTTGAGATAGCATAATTCCAATGCATTGTGGGGCAGCAGCCCCCAGTGGAGGAACGCCCCTGCAATGCCTCAGCGATGTTACCACTGATGTCAGGTAAGAATACTAGGAGGCCCACTCATGTAGAAAGGGGTCCATTCAAGATGGCTTAGCCATGGAGCCACCTCTGGCGATTGCTCTTTCAGACTGCACACTAGCGCCCGCATGACGGAATGCTGCTCCCTATGACTGATCCCTCCACATTAAAACAAACTGACATGTCTTCTCTCTGACATGCTCTTTTCTAGATATAGAGTAAGAGCCTTTGATCCAGTGAAAGCAAAACCACCTGCAGTCTGAAGTGGTACAGCTCAGGCACCTTAGTAAGGACCTGAACAATGTAGCATTCTCTAGAAATGCTGCTTTTCCCCTGCTTCTGCTGAGAGAGAGGAAAACAGAATTGTTTCTCCACAGGAGCTACCTCAGCAAGGAAGGGGGGCGATGAATTTGCAGCCCACTGTTGTGTGGGCAAATGCTGCAGGCTGATGTCAGATCTGCTCATTCCTGACCTAGACATCCCAATAGGCTTTTAAATTCTTGCTGCAGCCACTGCAGAGATGTGGGTGGGGCTCAGTTTTTTATTTTATTTTATCTTTTTATCTTCTCGAGCCAAAGGATAAAGGTACCGTATTTAAGGATGGAGCCATCTGCCTCCCCTCCCAATTAGTTAGAGAGCTGCTGGTTTGAAAATAATACATGACTGCTTTAAATACATTTATGTAGATGAACCAAGGGAAAAAGACACACCATTTTAATTAAACATTTTCACTCTCTTTCCAGTTTGCTTGATGAAGCTGAAATTTAAATTTACAAGACAAGGCTTCCAACAGATCATACAGATATGCCATATAAATGTCACCTGGCACACGCACTGCAGTCAACAAGCAAGAAACCATAAAGACGGCGGGAGATTTCCCCCTAGTAAGAGTTCTGAGGACTTTCAGAAGCCTGTTGCAAATGAGACAAAAGCTTTAGAAGCCCCCAAATCCTCTCATTCAGATCAGTGACTGAGCCAGAGAAGAGCCCTCCACTTCAACGCACCCTTCCTCACAAATCCTTGCTATCCCTCTCTCCTGGTCCATCTGTGTTTTGCACCCTGACACTCTGCTACCTAGCAGGGGTCTTGCCTTCCATGAGTGTAAAATTTATGTACACAATACCTGAACTGCATAAATTGACAAGTGTTCACGCAAACACTTGAATAACTGCAGAGTCAGCTTGTACCTGTTTTCAGTGTAATTCATGAACAAGCCTATTGTGTTTCATGAGCAGGAGGGAGGCGGAAGTTAGAATCATAGAATCATAGAGTTGGAAGAGACCACAAGGGCCATCGAGTCCAACCCCCTGCCAAGCAGGAAGCACCATCAGAGCTTGGTCCTCCTCTGTGCTCCACCTGTGACACTTGTGCTGATTCTGTGGCTGGACAGAAAGAGGAAAGAGAAGGCAGAGTGAAGGCTGGCAGCAAGGGCTTTTACTGACGGGAATGGGCAAGGACATTAAATAAGTGTGTGAAACTGAAACAATCATTTACCTTGATTGCAATAAGGTATCAAAGAGTTCAAACTACTTCACACTGCCTGGGGCAAGTGAGAGGGAGGAAAGAGACGATGCACACATTTCAGAGACTAGAGGGAGGATAGCAAAGGGTTGAAGATCTTGAAGGTAGGCACAGATTTATGAGATGCTCAGATTCCTGATCACATGAATATTTATTCTCCAAGTCTCAGTAATGCAGCAGTCGTAAAAGTTCCTATTTCTTTGCATCTCAGTGCCAATGAGATCCTTTATCACTGAGGCCAGTAGGGCAGTTTTGATGCACCATGCACACGTTTCAGTATCTTAGGACATACCCATTGGCTGCACATAAGCCAAGGCAATGAGTTCGGAAACAACAGAGAAATGCCTTCTAGACTGAATGGCTCTGGTATTGTCAATAAAAACTTAATTTTGCAAGAAATTAAAGCAGAGGATGGCGTATAGTCTTGCAGGGCAAAAGTCATGCCGAATGTATTCTATGCCAAAATTAATAAATAATTTGAAATTCCGCATGAGGAAACACCGTATTCTGCAGCATTGTGAACATCAAGCAAGATTTGCATCATTTCTCTTTATTTTTTTCCCCATATTTTTCATTTATAACAAACATTTCAACAAATAAATTAAAATAATTCTCACATATTGAACTTTGACTTCCCTCCCCCTCTTTCAGCGATTCCACGAATTTACCCTCTTTTTCCTGCACATCCCAATCATCTATTTCATATGTTTTAAAAACTGCAAGATTTTACAATAATCCTGCTAATGTCTTAATTTGTTTGCAATTGGTTTGTAAATATATGTTGCCTTGATTTCTTATTTTTCCGGTAAGTTTTGCCATTTCTGCATAGTCCATTAATTTCTGTAGCTATTTTTCTTTTGTTGGGACTTCTTCTTCTTTCCATTTTTGGGGGAATATCATTCTTTCAGCAGTGGTTGCATACATAAATAAATTTCTATATTGTCTAGGTAACTCTGACCCCATAATTCACAAGAGAAAAGCTTCTGGGGTTGTTGTTTTTTACAAACATTAACTTAAACATCTTTTTTAATTCATTATATATAATAAGGGGTGGTGTGGGGAGCTATGGGAACAGGACACAGTTATAACATCCCTCATCCAGCAATGCCTATGCCTCTCTTAGTTCTTCTAGGTCTGCCGCCTTGGCTTCAAGGGATGCTATGCGTTCCTGAGGAGCTGGATGTTCACTGCACACCAGACGCACCCATGGTTTCTGTCACACATATGGAAAGCCTGGATAGCTCTCCCCACCCCCATGCTGGTCTTCTAACTGCATGATTGTTTTTGTAGTTTAAATTAATTATCAAAAGTTTTGGTTTTCCTTAGGTCAAAGAAAGAGGGGGCAGACTGATATGCCCTGACTCTCACCCTGCTGCTGAACTCACACATCTGCTGAACTTGCCATGATACTTTGTCATCTGGGGCTTCTTATAATTCATGGAATGGGCTCCCTTTGATAGCTGGCAAGGTTGATAAATGGGGATTGGGCAAGGACTGATGAGTAAACTAGCACTTGACTCCTTGGGGGGTGGGCCTTCCTTCCTTCCTTCCTTCCTGGAAGTCTGTTTTACACACTCTAGCTTTTACTTAATTTTTGTTTTATTTACTGGCAACAACACACTTTGAAAAGTCCCAATTACTCTGTAGTTTTTGATACACTAGGCTAGATTTGATACACTAGGCTAGATTTAATCTGCATTGACAATCTGGGACTTTCAGTTGAGGTTTTTTCCACGTATTAAAGTGCTAACCTTTATAACTTAGTAAAACAGAGCTTGCAGGGTGGGAGGTGTTTAAAGAAGGCTAAGTCTGCTCATTCTAAAACCAAACTGGATCCCCTAGTAGCTAGATCTGTGCTGTGTGGAAC